AAGGGAGAATGCAGGGAGGAAGGGGACAAGCTGTTTTCACTGGTGGCCAGCGATAGGACAAGGGGTAATGGCCACAAGCTGAAGCATAAGAAGTTCCGTCTCCAGGTGAGGAGCAACTTCCTTACTGTGATTTGACAGAGCAGTGGAACAGGCTGCCCAGGGAGGTTGTGGAGTCTCCTTCTCTGGAGGTCTTCAAAACCCACCTGGATGCTGCCCTGTGCCACATGTTCTAGGTGTGCCTGCTTGAGCGGGAAGGTTGGACTAGATGATCTTTAGAGGTCCCTTCCAACCTGGAATATTCTGTGTCAATATTTGGTGTCATCTGCAAACTTGCTAAGGGTGCACTCCGTGCCCTCGTCCAGGTCATTGATGAAGAGGTTGAACAGTATCCGGCCCAGTACTGACCCCTGGGRGACACCWCTGGCCACAGGCCTCCACCTGGATTTGGCCCCATTTATCACCACCCTCTGAGCTCTGCCATCCAGCCAGCCCTYGATCCACCGCACCGTGCACTCATCTAGTCCACTGTCCCGGAGCTTCCATATGAGGATATTATGGGAGATGGTGTAGAAAGCTTTGCAGAAGTCAAGGTAGACAACATCCACGGCTCTCCCCTCTTCCGGCTTGTCATCCCATCATAGAAGGCTATGAGGTTCATCAGACGTGACTTCCCCTTGGTGAATCCATGCTGACTGCTCCTCAGCAGCTTCTTCTCCTCCATATGCCTGGAGATTCTCTCTAGGATGAACTGCTCCATCACATTTCCAGGGACGGAGGTGAGGCTGACCGACCTGTAATTGCCCGGCTCCTCCCTCTTGCCCTTTTTGAAGACTGGAGTGACGTTGGCTCTCTTCCAGTCCTCGGGCACCTCCCCTGCTCTCCAGGACCTCTCAAAGATGATGGAGAGAGGCTGAGCAATAACCTCGGCCAGTTCCCTCAGCACTCTTGGGTGCATCCCATCTGGGCCCATAGATTTTTGAGTGGTCAGTTTGCCTAAGTGATCCCTAACCCAATCCTTCTCAACCAGCGGAAGGTCTTCCTTCAGCCCATTTATATCTCTTCCCCTTGAGCACTGCAGTTCGTGGGGGGTCGCCTTAGCAGTAAAGACAGAGGCAAAGAAGGCATTTAGTAACTCTGCCTTCTCAGCATCCTCTGTCACCAAGGACCCTTCCCCATTCAGCAGTGCACTAACATTTTCCCTTGTCTTCCTCTTGCTGTTGACATAGAAAGCCTTCCTGTTGTCTCTGACATGCCTCACCAACTGTCATTCCACCCGGGCTTTGGCCTTCCTTGTTTCTCATCTGCATTCTCTGATGATGCACCTGTATTCCTCCCATGTGGCCTGTCTCTTCTTCCACAAGCTGTACACTCTTTTTTTTCTCGTTCACTTTGCCCAGCAGTATCTTACCCATCTATACAGGTCTCCTGCCCCGCTTACTTGACTTATCATAGAGGTCACAGAGATCATATTGTCTATTTGTCTTTGTCTTTTTTTTTTTCCCTAAAAATTAAACTAAAACTTAAAGAGTTTTCCATTGTCTCTATCAAGTGAACCAACGACTTGCTGGGCTTCAGTGCTGCCAGAGGATAGGCAGCTGTGGCAGACAGAGAAAAGCAGGCTTAAAAGTGTTTCCTGAATAGAAAACTCCATTCAAAAATAAATAAATTKATCCAAAAATAAATTTCTTTATATAACATTAACCAATAAATTAACTCCTATATAGAATACATAGGGACACCTGATGACACATGTTGCCACCTCACCTTCTACCACCTATCTCCTGCTCATCTTACAGTTTTTAACCATTCATCTCCAGTACCACCTAAGTTTGGTATTAACAGCATTATCGTAAAAAAAAAATAATAATAATTAAAAGAAACCTCTTAATATTTCATAATATTTCAGTCTCTCTCATCAATGTTCAAATACTTGCTTTGATGATAAGATAATAAAGCAAGAAATACAGATATCTGAAAATATCTCTAAAAGTCTTTCTGACATCAAGAAATGCTGGTGTCTTGTAAACTGTAAAGTATACTGATTCCAGAGATACACATCCAGGATCACAGCAGTTTATAATCACRTCTCTGCCACTGCTACTGAATGATGGCTCCCAAGCCACTGCATGCATAAAATAACTTGTTTCACCTTTTTTTTTTTTTTGTATTGCTTATAGGTAAAGTTATTTTTAGAGGAACAAGGAACACAAAGATAAACAGGACTGAAAAAGGTACCTTTTTACAACATCTTCTCCATTCCAGCATGGTAGTCCATCAGCGGCTGCTAACTCATTGGCACACAGCTGATCAGCCAGGCCACCATAGAAAGCTCTGTAGAGACGGAGGTGGCCGATAAATGACCTGCACAGAGGAACATGGAAAATAATTGACAGTGTCAATCAATAACATTAAGCAGTACAGCTGCCATGTATTGCTACAAGAAAATAAAAAATGTGTCGTTTCTAATATTTGCTATTGGTTCCAATGATTTTATTCATTGATTTGTTAATTTTCTTTTTAGATAAGCTTGGCTCTCTCATATATATTTCAGGAGTTTACAAATTTGACATATTCTCCGGTCAAAGTCAGAAAAAAAAAAAAAAGAATTACTCATGTTCTATAAGAGGAATTATTATCTCCATCCTAAAGTTTTCTTGTTTAGTTCTAATAGTTTGCAATCTAGTTTTGTACAAATATACGAGTATTGCAAATAACACAGAATCACAGARTGGTTGAGGCTGGAGGGGACCTCTAGAGATCATCTAGTTCCACCCCTCTGCTCTACACCTAGAGCACACAGCACAGGGTTTGGAAAAGCTCCAGGCAAGGAAACTCCACAACTTCTAAAGCATGGCAATTAATAGGCTTCATATACTACTAATTAGGTTTAAGAATAAGTTGTCTGCTTTTCAAATGTACTATTAACTACCTTCTTACAAAGTGTTACAAGTGCTAAAAAGAATATATGCTTGAGTTCTGAACAATTCAAGATAGGTAGGATAGCTGAAGGTGTAGATATTAAATATTTAATGGAGATTTAAATTACCATTTGAAAAAATGACATCAATTTTATAATGTGCTGCTAGTATGGTATGCTTTTATTTATATGTTGCTTTCTTAAATAATTCTCAAGGAGCCCAAAGCTAATGCTAAGTTTTTATATTTATATAAATCAAAAGAAATGATTGCCTTTTCAGTTAGTATGTTTGTAACTGGACTGTGATATTTATGTTTTATAAACTGTTTGCTAATGTACTGAAAATCCTGAGAGACCCATTCCTGCTGTGAAAAATATAAATATTTATTTATTTTAGTCTAAAACATCACACCATACTAAGTTATCTATTACCCACAGGCACAAAGAAAAAATACACAAGCAAATGATGTACTCATTGCTTTGTAAACCAGAAAGCTTCACATTATCTTAAATTCTTGTCTAATGTCTGGAACTGGAAAAAAWATGCTGCAAATGTTCTATCCATTTACCAGTATTTAGATAACATTTGTCTAGCATGGCATAAGAAATTAAATTAAGTATTGTTGACTTGAAATTAAAATAGAAAACCATGAGTAACTATATACAGTCTGTTATTTAAAATCCACATGTGCTTTTTTGCTGTTCTAAAGTAAATATTTTTACACAAAGCACAGTGATTCAGATTAAATGCTATTAAATGTGATATGAATGCTCTACTAATTCTAAAACTGTCATTCTTAAAATCTCAAGTATGGTCATATATTGCRTATGTACAATATATTTTAAATATGTGACTATGCTACATCTGCACTCTTCCAGTCATGAGTATCGTATTTTTCCAGGGCAAATTGCACCCAGTGTGCAGAGTATATTTACAATGTTCTTTCATTTCCCATCAAGTGGGATTGATTTTATTTTGACTGTACCTGGTATCCTTTAGGTTTACATAGTGGATGAAAACTAGTGATTAAAGGCTCTTCTCATAGTAAATAGYAGGAATTTCTTCTTTTGCACAGTCAATCCACGTATAATACAGAAATGGAAACAAATACTGCTCCTCTAATATCTTGTGACAAACTACATTATAAGAGAAAGGTCAGTCATTCAGTTTATYAGCAAATATATCCTGAGGCAAAGCAGAAGTTAATATACAAGTAATAACTGATTTCAACCCCTGTAGATATTTGACCAAAGTAGTTAGAAGGGCAGATGGTYTGAATGTCAATTTTCACATTATCATCTTCTAGACCAGATAGCATATAATTATAGGCAGCTGAGCACAAATGTGCAATTATAGTCAGCAAAACCTACAGATATTTCTTATCATTGTATTTGGAATTGTTCAGTTYTTACAATTTTACTCTACTCACTAAAAGCTTTTTACAATGTTTGGTTCTGGAGGGAAAAAAAGGTATTTTTTAAAGATTGTTATATCAGTTCTAGTCAGTACTTTTTAAAATCACCTCTCAAATTTTAGCTTCAAAAGCACAGTGACATTTCCTTTTCTTCTTGTGCCATGTGGCATTAGAAACCATCAGCCTATTTAAGCCACTTAGGCAGAGGTAGTCCAACATGTACTTTAAACTGTAAGATTTCAACTGGAGATATATTTGAAAAAAAAAAAATCAGGAAATCATGGAACTCTTACAAGTCACATATGTAGTGCTTTTTAAGAATAACTGCCATCGATCAAGTCCCATACAATTTACGAGAAGCCTCCTCTCTCCTGCTTTAGCTTATGAGAGCTGCCACAGGTGGTATGCCACAGGCTGCTCTCACAGGTATGAGAGAAGTCCACAGGTGGTAAATAAAGTGGAGTTTCACTCCAAGATCAGCACTTCCTTAAAAGTAGCCTATAACCATTTTTTGAAGTTACTCTTCCATCTGAGGAACTGTTACGGTTGCCATGGGAATGGCAAGGGGAATAGAAAGCGATTGTGGCTAAAAGGGAAAGAGGTGATCCAGGGGGTCATGAACAAGAAGATGGTGTGAACAATAAAGCTGTAAAAGTGAGATTTCTTCTGGGGATCTCAAACTCTTCCTCTCCCCATCCCCTTGGTGTGGGGCTTGCCACTCGCCATAAAGTGATCTCAGCACTGCAGGCAAAGGGACAATGATGTGCTCTGTGCTGCCACTAGCTGCCAGGTCTACTGAGGTTTCCTGAGCACTGGTGAGGTCTATCTGTGCGCCACTTATCTGGCATCATGATTAAGTGAGATTTTAGAATACAGTTCTGTATTTGCAAAGTCTTAGCAAGAGGAGGACATCAAGTAATTAATCACACAAAATGGATAGAGGAAAATATGTCTGTTTAATGGGCATTGCCTAACGAGCTTCTGTGCTAGATAAAACAGACTCTTGCTTTGCATCTGTTTCCCTCCACATAATGTTTCTCTAAACCCTGCTTTTATTAATTAATTATTTTTGTTACCACGATTTGGAACATGAAGGACTTGCACTAGATTGGTCTGGCACTCTTTATTTCTCCCAAAATCAGTGCTGACCAATAATTCMCTGCAATTGTTTCATTTCCGTTTTCTTCCGTGTTACAAACTGAATTGAAAGGAAAAAGCGGAGAGAGAGACCCTCTTTATATTTTAGCAAATAATAATGAGCCTTTAGTTTCAACTGTAATACTATCCTTACTCCTTACAGTAATTAAAAACTTGATTCACTTGCCTAAATCTAGATATTTGGTGCCCTTTGAGATGCTCTCAAGTATCTAGGAGGTCTGCACAGTGCAAAGCACACATCACATAACTGACAGGACAAATGCATTCTTCCTGGCAGCAGAAGATCAGCTGGGGTCGCTAGGGCATCTCCTAACAGCCCTAAATGCTTGCTTCCATGTGGAGCAAGACCTCCTCTTCACTATGAGACAGCTTAAACATGTGGATCATATACAGGCATCTGCATCTCTAGGCAAATTTTACCTTGTGATACTATGTTTAAATCAAATCTCATAATCTTTGTTGCCACAAGAATTAAACATACATTGGCAAGAAAAACAGTGAAAAAAAGTACAAAATGACTTGCTTGAAAAAGGATTTCAAGATTCAGCCCTAGATGCTCAATTATTTTATTTTTAACAAAAAAAAAAAAAAAAAGTGAATGTGTAAGAACAAAACCATTCATTCTCTTATATCTGATCAATTTGTACAAATAGTTTTCTTATAAAAGTGTCAGTCAAGTCCTGACAGATTTAATAACGCCCACTGATGTGCTGATTAAGTATAATCCAAAGACTAACACACAAAGATACAGCTAACATTCATATTTTAGCAATGTTATTCACTCTTTTAAGCCACACTAAATGGCTTTCCTCATGTGTCCATTATTTCAGAAAATTTAATCTTGTCATAAAACAACTCTTTCATAAATGTAATAGAACAGAATTTGTTGTCGAAATGCTTTATTCCTTTCAGTCTCTATTTATTCTCCACTAATGCATGCCATTGATTTGAATATAATCTATTCTGTTGTAAAATTAATGGCTTACTTTATTCTTTCTTTCTGGCTGTAAAACTAATGCCTTACTTTCTTCTGTTGGCAAGGGTTTCTTCACTGTCTCTTGAGAACATCTTCAATCCTTGATTATCTTTGTTCTGATCAAAGGAGCAACCCGGTGACTGTGTGGGCTTTCTTACAGGAGGACCACATATCTTGTTCGCCTAAACAAGACATAAGAGGGAAAGAATATACCCAAAAAATTGTCATTCCCAATTCCGTTTCAATTTCAGTTCTCAATTCAGTTTAAATGCACTTTAGTGGGAAAGGAAGCCTRTGGACATACCTTGCAGATTAACTAAAAGAAGTTTCATCAAGTATGATACTTGTCAACACTGATGTCCACAATGAATGCGTTAAACACATTTTTAGTCTTTATACAGAAGAAACAAAAAAACCCCACCATCTGCTTTTAAAGGAAAACAAAGTGTGTAAGTCATCACAAGTAGTTTATTGATGATTGATTATGATTTATTGATTTATTATTTCTTCCTATCAGGAAACTATATTATTATGCAGATAATAACAGCAACCTCAGAGATCATGACCTGTTACGAATAACACGTTATTTCAAGTTTTCTATAATGTACCTCAAACACATTTTTAATATGCATTGAATTTTGTGATTTCTTTCAAAGTTGATGAATTATTATGGCATATTCAGCATAGTGACCCAGAGTACAGAGTGAACACTTATCATGGGAGAAGCTTGTATTACAACTTTGCAAGATGTAAATGTAATGACCCAGGCTATAAGTTTAATGGTTCAGACCACAGATGTTGAAAATATCAATGGTTTTATATGTCTAGCTTTCTAATCTCAGTATCAGTATAGCTTCCACCCACATGAGCTCCCATTTTCTTCTTTACAAAATGCTCAATATCACTTATTATACTATAGATGTATTATAGAGTTTAGAAAAACTAAATATGATACTATAGAAGATATCAAGTCATGATCATAGCTCAGTATTCTTCCTCATCATTGAAAAAAAATAACTAAAGTGAGAGAGTATCTTCAGGCTAAGTATCAGGTGTGACCAAATATTAAACAGAATGGACAGCATATATCTTCTATTAGCTAGTACATATGCAACATTGAAAAACTAATACTGTATGTGAATTATTAAAACTTGGTCCCAACATTCAGTCAACCTTCTTAAAAGGAAAGGGAAGAGGAGAGCACTTTTCGTACTAAGGCCAGTTTTTGAAGCAGAAGCATATTCAAAATGTTCCCACAAAAAAAGAGGAAAGGGTGTGTATTATGCAACAAGGATTATTATTTCCTGTTGCTTTTTACATCCTCACATGTAAGAATAGAGAAAGCAAATAAATTGGTTTCAGCTTAGGATCGCTGAAATTAAAGTCTTAAAGAGTATATCTAAAAATGCTATCTGTCAGCTCAGAAATATATTTCAAATTTAAGGTAGAATATATACAATTTTGATGCTTTTAGTGGTGGTGGTATGCATGGCACTGGTGATGAGCAAAGACTTGTTGAATGCACTCACTTTGGCCAAAGGATCAGCAGTTTTAGTTCATAAAGAATAAGTATTCATTGCATTAACTCAAGTTACATGAATTTGAGATTCACATGTATAAATATACTTAGGTGTCCAAATTAYACTTAGAATCCCCTTTAAAATAAGGTGCATGAGCTTCCATGAAAGGTAACTGCTAATGATCCTTAAAAGGCTAATGACATTTAAGCATTTAATGGGATTCAGATGGTGAGATGAATATCTAAGCTCATGCCAATGAGAGACAGTTTCTTCTTGGACAGCAACTTACTACATTTGATCTTTCCCTCAAGTTCCTTCCAATCTTTCTCAGACTTCTTCCGTTACTTCCACCACTAGATCTCCTTAGACCACATTAGTCCACATTCTTCATTAACTTAATTGGACTTCCATTCTTCCCCTGTAACGCTCCACAGTCTTTCACCTATTCTTGTGCAAACTTGCTAATTGAGTGCTATATTTCATCTCTTAATTAATACATCCTCTTAGCCATTCTCTTCCAATAAGATCCTAATCTTCCACAGGAAAAGTTCAATTAAAAAAAATTTTTTTCTTTCTTTTACTTGTCTTGTTCCTTGAGATGGCACTGGGAGTATTACACATATAATCAGCTTTAATGACAAAGAAGCAGCAACTGATGGTTGCTTCTATTCAGGTTTGCCACAGGGAGTTTAATCTTTGCCTTGTCAGGATTAAATATAAGGGTTTGATAGACAGTGATGGTCAGATCCAGATGTTTGGGTAGGAGGATTTCTGTCCCATGGCAGACATGGGGGACTTGTGCAGATTGTAAAGGCTTATGTGCCTTGTCCAAGCACTCTTAGAGACTGACTGCAGGATCAGAGACTGAAAGATTGAATAACATAATGCAAATACTTCACTAGCTAATACAGCCTTACTCTGCCCTAAGCAGATGAGTGCTAGTCCTTTGGGTCAAAAGAAGAAATTAAATTATTCTATAAAAAAAAAAAAAGCACCAAATTATATAGGCACAATGGTTTGGATTTTCAAAATCACTGTCTAATGCAATTTTTCTCTGTTCATTTTCTTTCAGTGGAGTTCTCAGGAAAGGCAGTATGCAATTTTTGGAACTTTGCATTCAGTGACACTTTTTGAAGAAAATCTTTGTTTCCTTTTTTTTTTTTTTCTTTAAACATGACACCAGATATTTTTTACATGCAAAAGTACCACAAGAATCTGGTCATTTTCTTTTTATGATTTTTTTTTTAATTTCAAAAGTCATCTATAGAAAAATTATAAAGCAGAGCTGCTGAAACCACAATCAGTTGAACTATAAAAAGTGTTTGTACATGTACCTGACACAGAAGTGTACCATGTACATATCTGCATTCCCATAACAAAGTAATTGATAGCAATCATATGACTGAGACTAAACTATTTTCAAGATACATGTGAGATGAAACATGTGAGATTTGATACCTTATTGATAGGTGACAAGTTTGAGCTCTCATAGCCGAAAGTAAGCTCACTAGTCTTCAGTACAGTCACTTTCCTCTTTAGACATGCTTTCTGCAGGATGAGCTACTTCAGCACATAYAAGCAAGCACTCTGACAATGTCTCCATCTCTGTCCTTTCTTTACTCTCTTATCCTGGGATAAGAGATGGGAGGCTTAAATCTCGAGACACTGCCTGTCTGACTGTCTTTGTGTTATGCTACTTCTTATTATTACGTTTTGATATATCATCTTTTTATCAATCATTTCAACTATTCACTGGTGACTGTCACTTTTATGTCATGTTTAAATCATTAAACATATATGCATGTTGGAGAGTTTCCTGACCGCTCAGTCTTCACTGTTACCCAGTTTCACCATTAAACTGCTGGACACATAAGAAGTTTGTATAGTCTTGCTTCAGGTGCCTGCTCTGCCTGTGATAAAAATCATATTAAAGCAAAATGTCTGATTTTCCAATAGAGAGCTGGCTGTATTCAAATAAAATAATAATAATAATAATAATAATAATAATAATAATAATGACAAATACACTCTTCCCTAAAAGCTTCTGATTTTCTGGTGCATTATTTTGGTCTCTAGGAATGAGCAATGTAAAGTTAATGCTGCTTAGCTAAACCTCCAATGTTTTCATAAGGACTATAACATTCATTAGGCACATTTTTTCTTTATTTTTAGCCTTTGGGCTGCAAATTTAACCTCAGTAGTAAATATTCAGTCTGTGCTCTCAGTGTAATTCTTCAGAGACACAGACTATGTGATAACTCTGAGAGAAAGGGAGTACACTCACTAGGCTCACGAGCTGACAAATGATCATTTTGCTGTAATAGCTGATCATAATGTATTCCTGCTCTCCTCCATTTACCCTRACAGGGCATTCCCACTGAACATTTTCACAAACAGAGCATTTTTATTGGCCTCAAACACAAAGCCCTAAAAGAGAGTGTAAAATGATTCATTAAGGGGAATGAAAATTACCTGAAAAAAAGAAATTGAAAAATCACCAAAAAAAAATGTATAGGAGAGAGTCAGATTTCAGAAAGATTTAGAGATGAATGTAAAATTTTAAAACAGATGAACCTAAGAAACATACTGTGTTTTCAAAAATAAGTATTTTTCTGGCTGACTATTCTTAAACAAATGCCACCCATTGTTTAGGCACATAAAGGGAAATCTCAGAATATGACAAAACTCCTAATTTCTACAATTCAGACAAACCTATTGTCATTATACTCAGCATGCCATTATTATGCACAATTTATATGCCACAGTATGATGATTGAGTTAATTAAAATCTCTTGTAATAACCATGCACTTAAATTGCAATTAGTGCCACACATGAACTTTATGGTAGTTTGATTTTGCTTGGTGCACTTCTGTAAAACATCTATATTTCCTTACACTTTGAAAACCTGGAGCATCAGGAACCTTTATATTTACTGAATTTACATTTACTGGGCTGGATAATGATGTGAACATCACACCAATAACGGTAGGATCCTATCCTGTAAGCTTATATGTTCAATAGGGGAAAAAAAAAWTGTTACATTTTATCATACCTTTTTTTCCTGTTATAAACTCAATGATAGTACTGAGGTCAATTCTATTCTGATTTTTTTTTTCTGTTCTGAACTRTGATGTTGGCCTACGATTAATTAAAAGAATGAAAATAAAAGTGGCGTTTCTTCTTGAATAAGACTAGAAAAGAAGAAAAAATATATATGCAAGCACAACACACATTGATATATATGTGTATRTATGTATGAACAGACACACATTCACAGAAATAGATCTCTTCCAGTGCTTAGGTTTGYATCTACAGCATAGAGACAGAAAAAGGAGCTACAAGGAGGCTAGGTCACATATCAGAAGAGGTCCTTCTTCAAAACCTTGCAAGTTTAGACTAAATTTAGTGAAGTTAAGAAGCCCATCTGGAAATTGACTGAAGCAACCTGGCTGCACTGTGCTATGGCATGTTTCAAACTAGATGTGCCAAGTCTCTGCGATTAACTATGCCATAATCTTTAAACTCCACTGCTATGCTAAAAAACAACTCTCAGGAATACTCAGGAGACTCACTGCTCCAGCGTGGGCTGCAAACTGTCGTGAGATCTTCCAAAAAGATGAACGTCTTCCAGTCTTGCAGTATTTGTATTTATACCTTTCTC